AACGAACTTACTTTCACCCTAAAAAAATGCTTACTAGTTCCCTATAATTGACGGATTGATTTACGCGAATGATCAATGTAAGTACTAGGATTGAGAACAGTGAGCAACATTGACGTCGCTTACCGAGGCGCTCTTTTGCCTAATATGGCAATACAAGCCGTCATCTCCTTTGTGAGCATGAACAAGCTTCAGATTTTCTTCTTCAGCTTTCTAGAAGTACATTTCATGCGTTAAAACTTTAATGAATAAATCAAAAATCCCATAAAACGATGAAATGTTAGTTCAAATGAAGCAGACCATATCCATTGGATCAGAGACTGGTGTGTTACTTTTGCCAACATTATAACTGAAATGAGCAGTTGGTTTTCCTTCCTTGGGAAACACGCACTGCGTCACCCAGTCGCTTCCCTGAAACTCATCAATGCAATTCAGGTGGGATTGCAATAGTTTTCCGCGGTGGATGATGGGGCGTGTCAGTGAGGTAGGGCCTTGTGCGCCGCCAGTACGATCTTCATTTGTTGCTGAAGTGGGTAAACGACAGCAAATGATGGAAAACCATTGATACGAGCAAAATGATACATTCTTATCGCTTGCAGAAAAAAAGGCGAAAAGCGGGCTGGAGCGGGGCCAAACCCATCCCTCTGACACGCCCTTTTCTCCGCAGCAGACTGGACTTTAACTGGAGCCTCACCATTTCTTCGTCCTCCGAAAATCCAACAGCAATGTAGTTATTGGCTGGTTTCTCGCTAGTGTTGCTGGAAAATTTGCAATGAGAGAGCTGCTTGTAATTGTGACACATTCCGCAATAACTGGATTTTTTGAGAAAAAGGCGGAAACCCTTAATAATGGGCGCCTCACTCATACTGTGCTTCTCATCTTTATCGTATTAGGGGTCAATAAAAAGGCTCAGCATTCAGGAGTCTCCGTATCGTGGAAGTGTCTTCAGGGCAACGTAGAGATGTCCGAGGAAGGCGGAAAGTGAGAAAGTCGAAGAATGAAAAAAATCCGCTTCATAAAAGTAATTTAAAAGGCAATAAGGTGGCGAACACTCTCCATATGCAGCAATTTTGACGGATTTTTTCAAGACTCGACTTATTTTTTTTTTGTTTTTTCCGAAGACCCAAAGAAGTCTTGGAATCTGCTAGAATGTGCTACAGTATTTTTTCCAACCGACTTTTTGAGTGGGGAGTGGCATGGAAGGAAGAAAAAAGACGCAGTTTGGTTTGGGGTGGGGGTGTTTGCACTTTCGCTTCCTCCCATCGGCGTGCTGATTGGTTACATGAGAAGATTTCTCCCCTCAAGCGCAAGTGCGCCAGAAAACATTTTCAAACAAATTAATTCTTCCAGGACCTAGACTGTCGTTGAATTTTGTCAGAAGGGAAAATGTGGCCAAGCGTTTGAGTGCGAGTCATTTTCATGTCAGAAGAAAGTGATACTCGTATTATGAGGGCTAGACCAAACTGGCATGAGTGGCACCCCCGGAAGTATTTCTAGCAATGCTTGTCCTGTGGGATGAAATTCAGGCTTAGTCTACTCCCAGCGTTGATTCCCGTAAATTTATCGCGTATATTTTAGTGGAGGAGTAAAGGGTTTATGGTGCTTGCACTCCGAACTCACGAGAAAATCTCCATATCAACCCAACCATCGTCTTTGGCGTTGTAGGAGAACATATGATGGCACTGGACCTTTATCCTGCAAAACTGGAAATTATAAAAAATAATAGCATTCTAGTCCCTTTCAGTAGTTCATGTCAACGAACATGTCTCATTTTGAAGACACTTGTAAACCTTAGGGAAGCTGCAAATCATTTAAAATGAGCACCTTTAGTTAGCAAGGTTTACGTGACTTCACAAGGTGGCCTGTACAACTTTCGCTCAACCCCATCTGGTGCCCTCACCAACCCGAATGCACTTTAAGTCACTTGAGCGTGGGTTTTCGAAACTTAGGAATCACCAGGACGGCATGCAGCAAAGGGGATTAGGGTTGATTACGGTAAGGATCTCGAATTGCTTTGAAAGGTTCCTACGATACAGCAATTTGCACCTCCCTTTGCTTTTGCTGTTTCCATTCCGACAGAGCTTTGCTTCTTTCATACGTCAGCCAGATATTAATCAGATACCCGACAAATAAAGTATCCTACCCCCTTACAAGAACCCGAGGAATGCTCAAAGCTTTTTCTGTCCAAGTCTTTCTTCATCGCCTTCAATGACCGTCGAATGAAAAGGCATAAACGGCTTAAGCGGGATATGTGGAACCACGTCGAAAAAACTGGTCCTCTGAGCTTCTTTGGCGTCCCCGCAGTGATGGATTTCAAGAGCTCTGAAGTAAACTCGGTCTGAGGCTTAGCCGAAAGAAGCAACTACAAGAAGTTCAGGGTTAAACAGCGCAGAGATTAGATCAGGGCATGTTCAGCTACCGGAGAAATTTTATAGTTTTTCTAC